TCACGGCGTTAGTTGTTTATATATTAAGTGCTTAGAAGAAAAAAAAATGCGGGATTGCGTCTTGATTTGTGCTGTTCATCCTGGAGTCTATCCAAACTTTGGGTCAAACATCTCAAAAAGAGATGAGAACCCTCGTGAATTGGTCCTTTGTCATTGATTCTGTTCATACACCAATCAGTAGATACCTCTGTACTGGATAAGTGTTGTAGAGGTAGATCAAAGTTGTATGTACACTACTAATATCGTACATGTTTTTCACACAAGCCGGGGGAAAAATATCAACTCTTTGACCAATCAAAACAACAGCTCATGAATATCACCGTGGCAATCTTCAGAAGGACATACAAAGTGCTCAAGTTGCATGACACTAATTTAGCCACGCACATGAAACTTCAGTGATTGTTTTGCATTCAGCTCCGGGAAAAACTGATGGCGAAACGACTTTTGAGACTTCAGGTCTTTAGTCTTGAGACTTTCAAGGCCCATGGAGCGAAAACCTCACATCTTGCAGGTTTGCTTTGCTGCAATGGGCATTCGTACAGCTTTTATGTGCTATGTTGTTAAGAAATTATTTTATTTTAGACATAGACAGATTTTATTGCCATTCAACTGTACTTTTAAAAATGTACAAATTGAAAGAAAGTTTGTTGCAAAGCTCCAATAACAATTGAAGAAAATAAAAAATAAAAGGATCATATATAAATGTACATAATAAAGGTTGAACTAATGCTAGTTTAGTATTTTTACAACATGAGGGATGAAGCAGTGGTGGAGTCTGGACAGGACTTTGTTAAAAGATGAACACTTTATATTTATTTGTCCTGAACCGCGATGTTACCTGTGACCCTTTTTTTTTAATACGAAGGTTTCAAAACTATTAAAAAACAAAAAGCTTTGAATGATAGAAGATACATTCAGCAAGTTTCCCTGAAACTTGCTGAATGTAAACCTCTTCACCTCTTCTCCCTTTCAGAACGTCGTCTGCGGCGAGGGGAGGAGCGGTCGGCAGGTTCAGTGTCGGGGGTAAGGTCCGGATCAGTCTGCGGAACGGTACCGGACCGCTGCTTTCGTCCAGCTCAGGCACGCACAGTCCGGCCCGTTTCCAAATGTTCCGGTTCTTGTGGTGAGTGGGCCAAAGAACGATGGGTCCCCAGAGGTCAGAGGTCAGAGGAGACACTGGATGGCACATTCTGGGCCCACACCGGTTCTGCCGATCCTTAACCAGAAGACACGACGTTCAGCTCAACTCAGTGATTGTAAATTGATTATAAAGAAAAAAGAAAAAATAGAGTAAAAATTCACCAGGACTTGAGCTGATTTTGTCTTTTAGTATCTTGTCTACTAACATTACCCAAATACAAACATTTAAGTTTCATAATTTTCCAAAGTCGCTGAACAAGGAATGCTTTAAAAATACAGTCACACATAACCATCCTTCAACAGACCAGCCTCTTCACGTATTTGTCAGACTGGACTGTCATCGTTGCTGATTGTTATCATAATAATAATTTACTCTCTTATCTGGTAATCCAAAATCGTGTCTGGGTTTTATATTACGTTCAGGTTGAGAGTCAAAGTTAGTGTCCCTGAAACACATGTATTAGTTGGTTTACGTCAGACAGCGGCTTTTAAAAATAATCACAACTTTAATCCAAAATCTGAGTTTTTAAACTCCTGATGACAAACTGGTGTTCTGACATTTCACTGGATGGAGAACATCGGCTGACCTCTGCGTGTGAGTCTTGCTGCAGATTCAGAATTGCATTTTGTTCCGAATTTCAACAAGACCATTCCAGAACTTCACAAAGGTCTTCTTATGCATTCAGGGGGTCATTTCATTTCACGTTCTCTGAAGCGTTTACTTCCTGGATGTCAATATTCCCATGAAACTCATTTTTATTTTTGGTACAGTGGTTTCTCAACTCGACCTCAAAAAGAAGATCCCGTCTTGATTTTGTTCTAAAATAACACATTTTTTTGTTGTTTTTTTATGCAGGAAAAGATGCACACAAATATGTTTTCTGCTTTTTTTTATCTGTATTGTTGACTGATACCAAAATATTCAGTATCGTAGAGCTCTAGTCAAAATAAAGAAGATGAAGACATTTTTCCTTCCGCTACACAAAATTCACACTTTGTGCTACAATTTCACCTGTGATGCCTCAGAATGCTTTGCACCCAGCGGCTGCTGGTGCTGTGGGCTCTCTTTCAGGAACCGGGGGCCCGTCCGGGACCCGGGCAGGTCCCTTCGTTGCTCAACCTGTGCAAAACCCTTTCGGACGGCCCGTGTTCCTCTCCCCGCTTCGTCGCACACCGGCTTCTTTCACAACAGGTGCCTTGTACCGGATTAAAATGTTTTCTGCAGTTTGTTATTATTTGTTGTTAATGGTTGACACATTTTAAACCAGAGACATGAGAAAGTGCCAGAAAATCTCACAAATGACACGGTACGAGTTTTCATTTACAGGATCCGTCACGTTATTCCATCTGGCAGCATGACTGTCACATCTGTTAGAAAAACAGAAACATTTAGTCACTTTCATGAAATGAAGTTTAGATCAGTTGTGTCCAAAGTGTGGCGCCGGGGCCATTTGTAGCTTTTGAAACGTTTTTGACGGGGCACCCGACCAAAAGTCAGAAAGGGTCAAAGTTTTTCCTTTGGTAAAGCAACAGCCTGAAACCTTTCTTAAGTTTTGAATCTTTACAGTTTTATAGTTTTATTTTTATAAAAATGTTGTAGAAAAAAAAATTCATGCAAATAAACTAAGTTTTGCATTTTTAACTTTATGGCTGTTGTGGCCCACAGGAGTTTAAATTTGCCAGTTTAGAAAAAAAAAAAGAAAAGTTTCTCAAGCCCCCCAAAAAAGCCGACACGTGAATCATTGAGTTGTCTCCGGAGGGGACAGAGCTGCAGACGTACTGTAATTTATCTGGGTTATTAAACTCCAGTGGAGCGAAGGGCACCCGAGCTGCGCGGCTCACGACAGAAACATCATACGACAGTATGGTAGCCGGTGATAAGCCTGCCTGTAATCTGTGTAATGACACAGCAGCAGCTGGAGGCGAGAGAAGTCACACAAGAACAAAAAGTTCCATTAATAAAACATTACTATAATAAAACAATTAACATCCCAGCAGAGAGGCCTGGGCTGTGTCCTCTGCTGAACCCTTAAAGTTTTGGAGTTTTGGTGCACCTCTTCTTCCTTTCCAGCTCCTTTTGCTTTTATTCTCCTGCTGTGCTTCAACGACGTTCTGCTACTTTTTTGCTTCAGGGTCTCACTCTCTGCATCATTATAGCTAATAAGTATAAGGTGATCCTGCATATTACTAATGATCAACCACATTGATACTACACTAAAAGCCTGTCTGACCAATAACCTGAGGAGGACTGCAGCTTCTGAGATGATGCTCCAAACCTGCAGCTGAAGGAGTTCACAGCTGGAGATGCCGGCTGTGCAGCAGGTGACAGTTTCCAACATGTCACCTGCTGAAGGAAAAAAAAAAAGTTTGCTTTGTCAAAAAGAAGAAAGAAAGGAGCTGCTGACACAAATCTGTTCCCGTGTCAGTTTGAATTCATAAGAAAAAAATACACAAACATTACAATAAGACTTTTAAACCAACATTATATCAACACAGAACTGCTTTAATTTGCACTTTACCAAACATAATTTCTCTCTCGCCCTCATAGTTTCAGTCTTTTAAGAAAATATTGCCTTTAACAAAGGCTTTAACCCTCATTTCCCATGATAATGAATGAACTGTTTTGACATGTAGACCAAAAATAAAAGGATATCATCTTTCTTTTGGATAATAGCAATGACAAATAATGGAGATTTGATATGAATCTGAGAAATGAACAAAGATGAAATCCAACAAGACACAATAATAATAATAATAATAATAATAAAAGAAAAAGAAGAATAAAACATTTTAAGTTGATTGATGTACGAATCTAAAAACATTCATTTGAACTTTGGCAAAAACAAAAGGTAAATCCTAAAAAATGAAAGAAAGAAAAAAACAAGAAGAACTTGACCTCCATTTACTTTCTGACGCAGTTTTGATTAACAGAAAAAGTACCGCTGTATGTTCGGTACGAACATTGTCATGTTTTTGCAGTCTGTCAGGATGAAAAGACGCAGCAGAGTTCATGTTTCATCTCTTAGAACTGACAGCGCTTTATTTCGACCATTTGCAGTGAAATGCAAATGGTTCTTCGACGCACGTCAAATCCGGCCGTCCGCAGCTTATGATTAATCTCCGAGTCTAACTATTTAATTTTATCCTAATGATAAAATTAGGATTTTTTTATTTTATTTTTTTGCATTGAACGGACATTTAAATTAAAACCCGTCCACTACAGCATCGTCTCTGCTGTGAATAACCTCACGGAGAAATGAAATAAGCCAATCCACGTTTATTAACAGTTATTACTTCAAATATTTCAATGCAAAGTAGGGGGGAAAAAAATAAAAAATAAAAAATGTGATGGATCTGCTAATCTCCACTGGCCTCGTTCTGCTCTTATCGTTCATGATTAGAGTGGATTGTTTTGCTGACTGGAAGACGTTGCCTATAAATAACCGGGCTGCGTGTTTTCTGGGTCAGTCCAGGTGCGTGGACAGTCTGCGGCTCGCTTCAAGAAAAAAGATCACAATCGTGGTTGGAATCAGAAATAATATATATTTTTTTTTAATTGGGGGACGTTTTCTTCAATTAAATTAGGCCGATTCAAAGCCTTTCTGATTGTCAAACATATAAAAACGTATACAGGCCCATAAAGGAGTCTTCTGAAAGTGTGATCGCCGGCCTCCCGCCGGCGCTTGTGTGGAATAAAACCGTGAATATGTGCAGTTCGCCCTTCCTTTAAAACGCTTTATGGCGCAGAGGCTGCAACAGGGTCCGAAGTCCACCAAAGTTTTGCCGATAAGGGGAGCCAATAAAAGCAGCGGAGCGGCAGTGTAAACACGTCCAGCTCTGTCCGGAGCGGCGGATTTACATCAGCCGGCCCACTCATTACCATGTTTTATATCCCCCTGCGCGCAGAAAGCATCATGGCAAAGCGGCTCCATCCTCCCCGCCAACAGGGAAGTGAGTGAAGCAGCCTCGCGGAGCAGGTGTCTGTCGCGCGGACAGAAACTCCCCCGCCCTCCCGACAGCTCCGGACTCCTGGAACTTTATTTATTTATTTAAAAGTTTTCTCCTTGCCCCCTTCCCCCCCATTCCCACCTCTATCTCTTTTTCTCTTCCCCCGTCGTTTAATTGCCCTCCGTCCTTCCTCGCGGTGCTTATGTCGTGTTTTTGATGTTCTCCAAAATGGTCTCGAAGCTGACGTCCCTGCAGCAGGAGCTCCTCAGCGCCCTGCTGGACTCAGGCGTCACCAAAGACGTCCTCATCCAGGCCCTGGACGACATGGACCCGAGTCCGCCGCCGCAGGGTTTCGGGGTCAAACTGGAGAGCCTGCCCGTGTCCCCCGGCAAGCCGAACGGCGCCGACGCGGACTCCAAGCCCGTCTTCCACACGCTCACCAACGGACACGGCAAGGGCAAGCTGTCCGGGGACGAGGGCTCCGAGGACGGGGACGACTACGACACCCCGCCGATCCTCAAGGAGCTCCAGTCGCTCAACACGGAGGAGGCCGCGGAGCAGCGGGCAGAGGTGGACCGCATGTTAGCGTGAGTTTATTTATTTATTTTTTTTATCATTTAAAGTTTTGAATTTGTTTTCAATTATAGCGCAATTTTTTTTCAAATTGCGCTATACGGATAAAATGGCGACGAAACAAAAATCCCACTTGCTTTAGGTTCATTTTGAGGGGTTGGAAACTGGACCTGAACAGAGGAGCAGGGCCCGGTTCTCCTGACACTAATGTCTTTTCTGTGTTTACACATTTAAAACAACCCGCCACGCTTCTTTTTTGGTTACTAATTATCCAAATAGATTATTTCTTTGCCTTTGGAAAATATCAGCTGAACTAAGATCTATTTATAATTAACTATACTCCACCTCTCAGAGATAAAAAACAGAAAAAGAAAAGCCGGCAACAAACAGGAGAAAGCAAACAAGTACTAGCAACGCATTACTGTCATTATTATTATTATTATTATTATTATTATTATTATTATTATTATTATTATTATTACTTCCAATTATTTTATTTTATTCATAAAGTGTCAAGACACACAATAAAAAAATAAAAATCTTACCTTTAAACAAAAATAAAAATGAATAAATGAAACAATTCAACAAATCATTCAGTTTTGATTGGAAGAAGGGAATAAAACCAATCATGATAACAAAAAAAAGAGAAAAAGTCCCAACAATATTATCAAAAGTTTCAAACTGAGAATCAACCCAGTGTGTGAAAAGCTGATCCATTTCAAACAAATAAATCTCTCCTCTCACTTTGCAAAGCTAATATTTGATGATTTGATCCTTGTATAGACATAACTTTGTTTCCACTTGGTACATTAAATTAGCTGAATTGGACAGTATTATTGAAATTATGATGAAATTGCTTCGTACAGCTGGATCCGGTTTTATTATTACAATATATTGTGAATTGTATCTTTATGTCGTTTAACCCAAATAAATGGCGCCTTCAAGTTCCTGCAGATGACTGCTTTTTGTTTTGTTTTTTGGCACATTGCTACAACACAAATAAAAGTGTTTGAAACGAGCAGGATGCGTGGGGACAAATATCACAACTAAACCCACGTGTAGTTCAGTTATTATTAATTTTATTCTATAAATCATCAACTGGAAGACACACAGTGGCGTGTGATTAGAGTGAACGGAGAGATTCTGGTTATTCATTGTCAAAAGTTATAAACTAACATCTCCCCACTTCACCAGCTACACTTTAAACGCCAGACCTCCACATTCTCTAAAACAAACAGTGGAGAGCAGATCTGCTTTATAATCGCTGATGTCCGTCCGTCCGTCTGTCTGTCTGCCTGTCTGCCCCGGTTACTGTTTGATTACCAGGCCACTATTCCTTACAGAGAGAGAGTCTGGCAAATCTGAGTTTATACCAGGTAAGAATTTAATGTTGAATTAGAAACTTTTTTTCTTTGAACATTTCTTTTTTGTGTACGTGTGTCTAGATTGAACTTATGGAAATTAGCCTGTGATCTCAGGCTAATATTATAAAACTGTTGTTTCATGTCAAGGAATTCTGACAAACATCTGAATTATTTATGAAGTTATACCTGATTTTTGACTCAAAATTTGAAAAAAAAAAATATTAAGACTGAAAAAAATTTGCTTAGGTTCTGTTAGAATATTCGTCTAAACCTTACATTGGTATAAGGCAAATAGTCCCAGTTTCTCAACCTCTGTGAATCCACTTGAACTAACCTTTGAAAATATTTACAGCCGCTGGAATGTGTGCTTCAGCGATAAAATGACTCATAATGGCTGCAAACTCCTTTCATCTTCTTGCAAAACAAAGAAGCTGTGTTTTTGCAATAATCAAAATGGATACATTTTTGTCGACTTTATATATATATTATATATATATATATATATATATTTTTATAGTCTGTAACAAAAGCTTGAAATTTTACCGTCGATGCCTGAACTGAAGTTTGCTTTCTGCTTGCCAGCGAGGACCCATGGCGGGCGGCTCGTATGATCAAAGGTTACATGCAGCAGCACAACATCCCCCAGCGGGAGGTGGTGGACATCACGGGGCTTAACCAGTCTCACCTCTCCCAGCACCTCAACAAAGGGACGCCCATGAAGACGCAGAAGCGAGCGGCCCTCTACACCTGGTACGTCAGGAAGCAGCGGGAAATTCTCCGACGTAAGTTAATATTTGAGTTTCTCACAGCTTCCAGTTTTAGATTTGTGGCCATGCGGCCGACAAGCAGCGTGCAGCTTTTTGTTCGGGTGTCTGCAGCACGGCTCACGTTTAGGCCTGCCGCCACGACAAGTTCTGCTGGACAATTAATTGTACCAGGAATTATTTTATTTTGAGACCGTTTTCAACTGATACAACAAGATCAGAAAAGCTTTTGTATTTTTAATAAACATTTTAACACTTCACCTGGAAAACATTTTAGATGTCTAAAATAAAAAACAACAATAATGAAAATGAATTATGGAGTCTCTGGGATCAAATTTGCATTTTATAAAATATTACTCATTAAGCTTGATAAGGAAAAAGTGGAAGGTACTGTTAAAGAAAAGTTATAACTAAATATTTTTTTGCAGGTGTCAAATATTTGCTGTGTTTTTCAAAATGGAGGGTTTTCAATTATATTAAAGGGGAGTGTCTCTTTAATGCCTCCAACTAGATTATAATTTATCTTGCTGTTAATTGATTTAATGCTTGTTGTGACAGGCCTACTCTCTTTAATCCTGCTGGTGTCCAATGAGCTCTAGGTTGCATGAGGTTGTAATAAACACTTGTGCATTCTGGGTAAAAAATTCTACTTATATTATAGTTAACAGGAGGCATCAACAAAATATGGCATGAAGAGTCACTGAAGTGATTATAAAATTGTTATTTGTTATTAAATGTCAGAAAGAATGAATAACATGGTGCAATTCTTCTGATTTAGCACTGCCTTGGAAGAAAATGTGAACATATGTAATACTCTGTGATTTTAATAGACAATATTAGCTGGTCAATTAGTTGGGCCACCTGCTCCGACACAGTCTGCAGTCAGTATCTTAGCAGACATCTTAAACCATTGCCTGAATAAGTTTGATAAATGTAGTTTTTTCTGTTGTTCCAAATTGTGGCTGTCTTTGATTTTTATGAGAAAACATTTATAAACAGTCAGTGTGAGAAAGCGTGGGCCAGCCATCAGTGGCAACAACAGGCAGGGGAGGGGCAGTGCTGCGTTAAATGTCAAATACCTGGAGAAAGCTTGTTCTTGTAGACTTTGAAACGTTTTGAAACCCTTTTTTATCTTAATAAAGTTCCTTCAAATCATTGAATTGAATTGAATTTATTTTACGGACGACATATCACGTCTTCCTTGCTTTTATTAATAATTGAGACTTTAAGCATATTAATGTTTGGTGATATTGAAATATTTAAAGTAAAGTACACAGATGTAAATATAAATTTACACTGATGTTTTTCAAAGTAGCATGTGGAGTATAACATGCTACTGTTTAGTTTAACTATATGCTGCAGTAGCTAGGCAGGCTATTTGGATGCTAACTTCAGTGAGGAAGTGGCTCCTTTCATTCCCATGCATTACTGGCCTTGTTATTTTATAGCTGTTGTAAATATTTCTGAACGGACAACTCTATATTTCCACTAACCTCAGTGAAAGCAGAGGTGCTAAAATGTATATTTTGGTATCGATCTCATACCAAGTAAACGTAGGGCCAGTATCACAGATACTGATTTCCGATACTGATAACTGATACTGATCATTTTTGAAGTTTCACATATCAAATTTCTGACATTTAGATGTTTTTTGGTCTTTCCTTTAGCTTGATCAAACCTGTGACAGAATTTGGAGAAAGTTTACAGGTGTCTACAAAATGCTTTACACATCATCACCTTCCTAAAATAACGACCTTAGTATATATATTTTTTTAAAATAATTTTTTGTTTTTTGCCAAAATCACTTACGGCAAAATATTATGTAGGCCATTATTTTATAACATTAATATGACAAACAGTATCAACAGAAAAAAAATATTTTGAAAGCAAATAAAAACAAAATAATTTTTTATACATAGTGGAGAGCCTACAAATCAGAAGTAAAACCAATGCTGATACTGACTTGGCATCAATATTTCCAATTATCCGCTATGCAGTAGTGACTAAAAATAAAAATAATATATTAAAAAACTGGCTTGTAATCAAAACCTGTGGAGTTGCATGAACTGGAAACAAAGATGAAGAGAAGAGAAAAAGTCCAGAGACACTTCATAGACGCAGTGAAAGATGCTGAGACTCAGAGAACCCTAAAGGCAGCACCTGACAGAAGATGGCAAGAGGTTCACATCGTACCTCTCCGAGCTTCACAATATCATCTGCTAATGTTACATTTGTATTTAGAAAGATATGTCTTTAATTCAAACAGTTTTCAGTCGATACGTTTTCAAGAACAGAATTTTATTCTGCTCTAGACAGAATGAACTAATGCCGAGTTCACTAATAGTTTTTTTTATGTCTTCAGTGAAGATGAGCAGAAACGTGTGAAAAGGTGAAAAGCTTGATTATCCTCTCCAGAATCAACTAGTTATTTTAAAATCGGTCTTAAGTGTGACCTGGTTCAGATGCACTAGATGATTTAATTATGTGTAATTTACACCGTTAATAACTTCATGAAGCCTGTACTTAGCTTTCATCTGCTTCTTCTTTGGTGTGGTTGAGTGCCTTTAGTTAATTTTAGTTGTATATATTATTATTATTATTGTGTGTTTGTTTATTTAATATTGTATATATTTGACTTTTTGCTCGGGAGTTGCAATAGAAATTTCGTTGAATCCTGTTCAATGACAATAAATACTATTCTATTCTTCTATTCTATTCTATTCATTAAGTTGAAAGTGCTTTTGAGAGAAAATGTCTGGACAACAAATTTTCCTTCTAGCTGTCTGTCAGCTGGCTGAAAGGAGGTTGCTACACTTTTTTCTTGTGTACAAAAGCTGCACATTAACTTGTTCTGATTTCAAACAGTCAGGCTGTGGAAACTTAATGCACACCACTCATTAATCTTACTAGCATAACGGCGATTTAATGCTGGGATTGAAGACTACCACGGCGAGTATCTTCTACTTATGCTTATGTCTATATATGAAAACCATATAAAAGAAAATGAATGCTTCATGTAATATTATTATGCATCCATTTCGCTGTACTCTGCTTCTGATAAAAAAAAAAAATTCTGTGTTTATACTGTAAAACCAGAAAACAGTGGCACTTCTTTACTCAAAGCTGTTACACTATGAGCTTCTCGTACTGGATTATGTTTAGTATATGCTTACATTCTGCTATGGACGCTACTATGTACTTTCTCAGGTGGATGCAGACAGAAAGCAGGTGCCATTTCTCACCAGATAACCTCAGCTGGTTCTCAAAGGGGCGCTCACTGGAGGGGCACGCCTCTGTTATTGATTTTATCATTTACTAATTCACAAACATCTGTTTAATGCAGAAAAAGGTGACTAGAGATATTTTCTCAGCCATTGATTTGGCGCCCATTCTAGGGTGGCACCCCATTTGCAGCATAAAGTTCTCTTTGTGGCAGTAAAACCTGGTTGATATTCTGCTAATGTAAAAAAAAAAAAGGTGTTTCTATTATTAAGTTTGTTCATATGACAAGTCATTAAAAAAACATTTGGCAACATGATCCTCCAACTACTGCATGTCGTCTTCTTTTTCTTTTTGTCATTACGTTATGCAAAAACATATTTCCTCTGCAGCTTTCCAAACACACTAATTTTGATACAGCCGAAAAACCTCTTCATCCAAGCGCAAATACGTTTCAGCAAAAAATTAGATTTTTTTTTTTTCCAGAATTTGCGTGTTTTCATAATTCCTATTTGTGTAATTATACCGTCAATTCAGCAACATCTCGTTGCGCTCGGGTAGTTGAAAAGTCTGCAAATGTCCTGAATTGACCATGGCAACAAGTAAAATAAAATTAAATAAAATGCTTAAAAAATGTGTTTTGAATGATCTCTCATTATTTTTGCAGAGTTCAACCAGGCCACTCAAGCTTCTATGGGCAGCATGTCAGACAAAGGCAGCCAGGATCCGGCCTTTTTCTACCCGGAGTTCAACATGTCCGGCCCAGGTATGGGTCAGTCGAGCGAAGAGGTTGGCACTGAGCCCCTGAGTAAGAAAATGAGGCGCAACCGTTTCAAATGGGGGCCTGCGTCTCAGCAAATCCTGTACCAGGCCTACGAGCGGCAGAAGAACCCCAGCAAAGAGGAGAGGGAGGCTCTGGTGGAGGAGTGCAACAGGTAGAAAAACACAACTCTCCGACGAAAGACTCTGCGGTGCATCTTTAACATCTTCTACCTCGTTTCCCGCAGAGCCGAGTGTCTTCAGAGAGGAGTCTCCCCTTCCAAAGCTCAGGGACTCGGCTCTAACCTGGTCACTGAAGTCAGAGTTTATAACTGGTTTGCCAACAGACGTAAGGAGGAAGCCTTCAGGCAAAAGCTGGCGATGGACGCCATCACTGCACCGTCGCACGGCATCAACCCACTGCTGTCGCATAGCTCGCCGCATCATCCCCAGACCAGCGTGTCCCCTCCAAGTAAGAATCCACCCGGAGATCAGAGACATCTGCTGAAACGGTCAATGCAAACGACTTTTATATTTCGTGGCTGAGCAATCACAAATGTTTTAGGATGTATTTTATATGATGGACCAACATAATCTTGGTCTGTCATTGTGAAGAGAAAACATGGTTTTCAACCATTTCTACCATAAAAGTAATCTACATGTGTTAATCCCCCTTTATTCTGATACATCTAAACGAATTCTAGAGGAATCAATTCTGTGAAACTGAACTGTTCACTGAGTTTTGGTCCCTACAAAAAGAGGTTGTTGTGACAGGGCTGTCCGTCCAAACTGAGAGGTAGGAGAAGCAGAAAAGAAGTCTACAGGTAGACACAAAAACTAATAGTTGTACACTCTTAAAATCTGGCCTTTATGGAAAAGTCTAAGAAGTCCAGTCTAATGTTTGCCACAAGTCATGTCAGTGACAAGTGGATGAAAGTTGAGACCAAACCTCTGGCCAGAATGCTAAAATTCTCATAAAATGCATCAAAGTTTGTGTTAAAAATGCAAGGTGATGTATTTGTCCATGTGACATTTTAGTTTCAGTTTCCCTTAGAGCAAAACTTTCCAGAAAAAAAAAGGTTTTCCAAGGCAGACTTGATGTGATCAGGGAGGCAGAGAAAGAGGCCTGGATGATCAATGACCGTGAGTGAACTGAGTAAATGCCATTGTTATTCTGATCTTTGAAAACACACTGAGAACAATCCACATTGTACCTGCAATCTCCACTCCAAAGTCAGCATGGAGAGGCATGACACAAAGGGCAGCAATCCTGTGACAGGCCAGGGTCAGGCCAGGGACAGGGAGGAGTGGGTTTGGGGGAGTTGGGGTGGACGGACAGATCCAGAACACCTCGACGTGAGATGTGTTGTGGTTTCCGTGGCTTCTCCTCTTGGTTGTCGAACGGGGAGACGCCGCGCGCTGTTCCGCCGACCATTTCACCCCAATCAGATGTTTGCATTTGGAGTAATTAGTATTGACCAAGCCCACCATTACGATATAAAACCAACCTGATAGGGCCCGCGGAGCTTTATGCCCCCTGCGCCATCACTCACCTGCCATAAAAGTGAGATTTGAGAGCCGCACTCAGAGCCCATTGTTGTCCTCTCGTGTTCGAACATGTGGCCACCTTTGAAGGGAACACAAACTGTTTGCCTTGGCTTGCTCTTTTACCTTTGAATAAACTGGTCCCACTTCTGGACCGTCTGTTTGCGTTTGTCTTTTTTTTTTTTTTCTTGTTGTGGCTCACTTGAACACCTGACCAGGCGATGACCTGAGGCTGCGTTGCGCTGGAAAGGGTCGACAGTGAGGCTGTCCAGCAGAAGGGGAAAGGTTGGTGGTAGACCCACAAAGAGGTGCTTACAAGGTGTCCCGCTGGCATCCCGCCGACACCATCAGCTATTTTTCAGCGTCAGCTCCAAACTGACAATAGCGTCCCGGCGGGCGGTCTCATTGCGTTGCCAGGGCACGGCCTGTATAATGCACGCTTAATGGACAATTAAAATCCTTTGCTGCTACATCTCCCGGGTCCTTGATAAGGGGGCTCCTCTGACTTCAGCCCTCTATACTCTGCCTCAGCAGGGGCTTCCATTGTCTGTGGTGTATTAGAGGACTGCAGTGATTGTAACATAGGGTTCATTTGTCTCCGCCGGGCCTTGCTGTTGAGGCTGGTCGCAGACTCGGAGCAGCAGGAGCTGTCCGCCGAGGTATTGGCTCCTTTCTGGCCAGACAGGACTGATCACCACTTCTTCTTTGCCTGTAGAGAAAGCCAGCTCACCCCTCCACCCTCCTCACTCTTTCCTCCTATGCTCACCTTCAGTCATACGTGAGAGGTCACTCCTGGGTCATTTCAGGCATACTCCTCTCACTCTGGGAGTTTTTATTGATTCTGTTTTGCTTCACTGATCAGTCGGTCACAACTGGATGGACGGTCAAACAGTGTGACGTGCATTTTTAGTGGTGAACTTTTTTTTTCTTGCTATAGCAACAGAAACTGATCCTACGGATAGATTAGCTGGCAGTGTTCGGCTCCTGTGTGGGATTTACCCTTTATTCTCCAAATAACATTTGCTTCTACTGCTAGAAGTCTACTGCTAAGTCCCATCTTCAAACGCATTCACCTGTGAGGGTAAGTTAAGCTATCAACCAGTGTTTTTACTTTTGCCCTACAAAAAGTGCAAAGACGTCAATGTCTCTTGATGGCCTTTAAAGGACAACCAACATTTGTTTCTGCATAGCCAGCTTCGCAGAAAGTATGTGCGTCAGTTTGAACTCCCTTGAAACACTGTTTAGTATTCATGTGCAACTATTTTCTTTAAATACCTTTTGGGTTTTTATATCTTTTTATACCACTTGGCTCCATTAGAATCCACTTTTGTCCGTTTTCTCTTTTTTTTTTTTTTTTTTGAAATCCTGTATAAGAATTTACAGTTAGGTTGTCCAGCGAAGGCCCTCACCAGTCGATGAGGAGTTTTTTTTAGATAGGAAAAGAAGCTTTTAGTTTCCATTTTTGCATCACGTCTTTCATCCAGAAGTGTTTTCGTAGAGCTTTGTCCCTTTGGGAAACTTTATGTGCAGTAAAGTACAGTTAAATAATTTTCTGGTCCTTTTTTGGGGTATGAGATGTGTTGTGCAGACAATGCATCAATTTCACCTTTCTTTACGAAAGTTTCAAAGCTGCTGGAAACTCAAGATGACTTTTTTGTTTGTGTTGGGTTTGAAACATCCTTAAGGTAAGGACAAATTACTGCACACTACATTTTAGGGTAAATAAAGGAGCTGTCAGGATGTTTTGAATCGAGCTGAAATCAATCTGCACGGCCATTACTCTCGGTTTTCTGGAAAGAAGCTTGACTAAATACAGCAACCATACTGCTTCTACTAATAATACCTCCATTGCAAGTGACAATAATGACATTAACAATAACAGTACAAGTAAAAGTGTGAATATGATTATGTAATGGAAGAAGCTATGTACAAAATTGGGTTACAAACTAATGAAGATTTGAACTGACAAAAACCAGCCACAGCAGGAGCCTTTAGGCAGATTCTAGTTTTCTTTGTAAGAATTAAAATTCAATTTAATTCAGTTCGATTTGGGTTGGTTCAGTTTGGTTGTGCTTGGTTTGATTCTATTGTATTTGATTCTATTCTGTTGCAGCAATTTACAATGAAGGTAATGCCAATGCACTAAAGGACACAAACAGGCCTAATTTGTACTCAGCCAACTCCAAGTTGGTCTAAATTAACTTCAAATAATTCCTTTCTTTTCCTGAGAAATCCAAACATATGTTCAGGTTCATATCCAGCTACATGTAATCTCGCTCACATCTAATTATGGTACAATACAATCATTTCAGTTGGCCATATAATGTGGACAGGTGAGATGCTGTCCGAACAAGGAGGCCCATCTGATTTCACAGAGTGTATCACAATTTCTATAGAGAAAAAGTGCAGGAGATCTGAGTCTCACACAAAATAAGAAAATGTTAATATTGTCCCTATTTATTCATACCAGTTCTTTTTGTTGTGCTTTTAAAAACAGTTTTAAGAATATGTTGTTGGATGACATGTTTACAAATGGAAAAAAGTGAGAATTTTTGGCTTTTGTGCATTTAATGAACAAAGAATAAATAAATGTATGTTTTAAACCCGAGGTTTTAAAAAAACGCCTTTTACTGACAGTCAATGATATTTAATTTTTCACTTAAGATTATCAGGAAACTGAAGCTGTGCTGTGGAAGCTGGGTGTTTTTTTTTTTAGAAAAGCAGCAGACTCAGAAGTTCCAGATCAGACACAGTAGTGAGTGGGTGAGTGGGCTGCCCAGCTTTCTGCTTTCACCTCAGGCTGGCTGAAAACAAGCATACACACTCAGAAAAGATTGCCCGACTTTGCGCTTTCCTGTGTCGGCTCCCCCAGAGTGCCACAAAGAGGAGACCGGATACGTCCTGCAAAGACCCAGGAGGTCCGTCGTATGCAGCGCCTCCACAATGGCCACAGCCTGGGGTTGGGGAGGCAGGCTTTGATATTACACGGGTCACACAGAGAGCGTGGGCCTTTTAAACCGGTCGAAGATCCCAAGCTACCACTCCCCTTCTGGGATTCTCGCCCTCCCCTTGCTCTCAGCGAGCTAGCACAAGTTTTTATTTCTTGTTTGCGCAACTGCACCAAAAACTTGCGATTTTTACAACTCTCAAAGCCACTCAGGAAACTCCCAACAAGATTAGCTTTTCCTTTTTCTTTTCTTATTTCTTTTTAGAAAACTAGCAAAGTTTTGAGTTGTGAAAACTCAATCTGAGGTCCTTGCCGCTCAAATTCCTGCCAAATCCAAAGAAACAAAACCGCCCTGAATAGCATCCTTTACTCCCTCTGACACTTAAAGAGGTCGCCCAGCTCCGAGATAACTGACTTTTTATGAGTCCTCCTCCATTGTGTCGCAATGGGGGTCACGAGTCCAATGGACTGCTTTATTGTTCCGCGGCCGTGTTTACAAGGCACGGCGGGTATTTGTGGGGTTGATAGTATGTCGCAGGAGACAATATGAAGTCTGTCGGCTGAACAAAATGGAGAATAGGCACTTTAGGCCTTGAAATACGGCGCAGTGGCCATATCTATATTCAAAGTGAGAGCTGGGAACTATCAGAGGCATGGTTGGTATAAATGTGTTTACTTTTGCTCTGATAGTAAAATAAAATGTTTGATACACTTGGGATGTTTTTTTTCCTTTTGAACAGAAACCCTAAAGAGCTTCAGGTTAAGACAGGACGATGTGATGCAGGACAGATTTGAATTATCTACACTTGATGGTTTTTTATAAATAAAAGCTGCCTAAACTGCATCTAACATCATATCCACAAGCTTTCTCTGTCTCAGGTCTGTGCAGGCTTGTTTCCATAAGAGAAATCAAGAAATGCGGCAGGATAAAATAGTGTCAAGAAGGAATGACCATGTTACATGTTAGCTTAACATGTAACATTTTTAACATTCTTAAGTTACCAAACTTAGGCGTCAATTCTCAGCCCATCTTCTACTCCGGCGAAGTCTCGAACTTGATTATGAAGTCTTGAACTGAAGATCTATTTGCAGATTTCTCCACTAAGAAGGAGTGAAGGAGAATGATTGACTGAGAGTAGTAACCTTGAGAACCACCCATAAATCTAAAAGCTTTTTGTTGCAAGCTCATTTGTCTGAATTTACAATAATTAATGGCTTTTAACAATAATAGAAAAAATACAATTCTGAAAATATTTATAAAGATGTAATTTTTGTTCCATTCTGGCCCAATATTATTACTCTGAAGCAGACAGAGACAGCAGATCACTGATAAATCTGCACAAAGGTTTCCTACAATATGATATTCGGCATTGATAGCTAATGCTACTCATGTCAGAGCTGAAAGAAAGCTAAAACAAGCCACCTAAATCATTTCATTGGACATAGTTGTTTGGTACAGACAAAACATTCAGAAAAATAAACAAATCAGACAATACAGATATCTGACGTGATAAACTTTATGCTCACAAACAACCATGTTCTTTGCTAAGGTTGTTTAAGTTGTATCTTTACCTTCTCTCTTTCCATATTGAGTCAAGATTATTGGTGCCAAACGCATTATTTATTTTATTACATAGAGACCTGTTCAATGAATTAGAATATTTTTGAAAAGTTAATAATTACGATTTTCCACTTGTTAATAAAACACAACATTAAAATTAGAAGAGCACAGACAAATTAAAAAAAAACAAAAAAACATTTTTGATATAGAAATATAGCCTTAGCAAAAAGTATATTTAGTACCTGCTGTAAGGATTTTAATTTTTAAATTTAATCTGATAAATGAGCCTCATCAGAACTCTTATTCAAATGTATTAAATATGACTGAATGTCCTCGATTTGAACAATAATATGGCAAACTACACTCACACAATGTTGCTCACATCCTGCTCCAATTTCCAGCAGCCTTCATTAGGAAATCAATGCCTCCCTCATTGCTCACCTTTCGTGTCAGTGCCTCTCCCTGTTTTCTTTTCTTTCTTTCTTTCTTTTATCTCAAAACCGGCTGTATATCAATACTTGCTGTCATGTCAGACCGACTTCGACTGGGCGCTGCGGCTGTCACACCCGGGTCAGGGACGGAGGGTGCTGTGGGGGAAGATGGGAGATCTGAGTGCAAACAGAGTCTGTCTCTGGATTGTCACTGAGGGAGGGGACGCTCTCCCTGTCCGTGTGAGGCTGAGACCACAGGATAAGAATGTGTTTGACATTGCTTGTAATTGTGTAATGTTTGCTCTGTTGGTATCAGGGGGTGGAGGGCTGGGGGTCTGCATCAGCAAACAGGTATTAGATTGTCAGTTGTGTGTGTGGGTGCGTGCATGGGTGTGTTTGTGTGTGTGTTGGGGGTATTTAGGGGTTGGGTTAGCATTCTTTGAGAGACAGCTAGAAGTCCAGACTTTGGCTTTAGTGTTTGTATTACACATTTTTTCTCTGTAGCGATGTAAGTATGTGAATTCTGTTAATGGTGCAAGTTATCCTTATTTTAACTAGTTTGTGCGACAAACTTTATTTTTCTTCTTCCATCCTGTCTTAATAGTCCCAGGAGCGATTATATTTAACTTCCATATACAAAGGTTTCCATAACCCTCGAACTAGGGCTGGACGATATGGCTGAAAACCTATCACAATATAATCATAACAGTCGATGTTAATAATTGTCAATATCAATAATTATTGATTCATTTTTTGTTTTAAATATCTCTAATACTGCCAAACTGGTAATGTGACCTTCCTTGGTTTTAAATTTTAAGCAGCTTTGAGACACGGTGGGAAAACCTGAAACTGTTGCTGCTCAAGTTAATCAACAGGCTGTTGCTAGGTAACCAAAAAGTGGATGAGTTAGTTGATGTCACAGATGTCGATTAGCTAGCCGTGAGAGGTTGAGCGGCTGAAGCATTTCCTCTGCCTACATCACCCAGAATGCTGTGCGATTCTGGATCAGGGTTCAGTGACTAGTCTACTTACTGAATATATCGATTGTTGTTGATTTATTGCCTATCCCTACCTTGGACTGTTCTACATTTTGAAACATTTTAAATGTATTTTATGTGAAAACATCACAAAAACGTGTAAAATTAAAACCCGGAAGGAGCATGATGCTTTCAACATGCCATGCATTGGTGTTCAACCTCCATGAGCCGCCTTTAATGCACACTAGATTAAATCAGTTATATCAAGTTTTACCTCATATTCACAGCGAGATTTAGGGCTGTACTTTGATTAGTCCATTCTAACACCCGAGTATGGTTTGATCTAAATCTGCTTGTAGGGTCATTGTCCTGCCAGAAGGTGAACTCTGCCCCAGTCTCATGTCTGGCCCAATGTAACTTTTTATGCAGCCCTTTAGACTCTAGAGAGCCGCATAAATAAAACCTTCAAGATAACAGCTGTGTTCTTAGATATTATTTTATCAGTCAAATTAAAGCAGCTTTTTATCAATCTACTGCCAAATAACATCACTATGTTCAATGTTATTTAATTAATTTTTTTTTCAGCTTCACATCAAATTATAATGTTGTTCCCTCCTCAAAAACATAGTTCAACCTCACTCCTCCACCGCTCCTTCCCCTCCCAGCTTCTCCAGACTAGCGGCAGCAGCAATCAGCAAACAGCTGGTGGAACTGAGCATCGACTGAGCTTATCATGTGAACTTCCTCTCAAAAAAATGTGCCTTTAATTTAAAAAAAATTAAAGGCTTGATGGATGAAAACTGTTGTGGTGAGGTGCTGAAGGTGGAGTGTTGGCGAGAGCAGGAGCTTGTTAAAGAGACAGAGCCCAATTTTAAGGTGTTAAATTGCAAAGTCAGATTTCTTATAAGTAATGTTTAACACTTTTATAACAACTGAAGGTAACATAGTTACATGACTGTGCTATGGGCCTGGAAAGCAAACAATACTGCCCCTTTAAGAAGAATTCATTGAACGCAGACACAGCTATTTATTAATAAGGTACTTTTGCCAATACATAGGGTAATTTTATTATTATATACTTCCACAATAGGATTTTTAAGGACATTCGTAATTCAGATGTGGTTTAAAATATAAATGACTTGGACAACCCGAGTTAGAGAAAAGTGTAGATTGGACTTTGGATCCATCTTTTCCAACAATGGCTTCTTTTAGCCCAGATTTAAGAAGAGTGTGATTAGTAGTTCCCATGTCAACATGGGTCAGAAATAACCGCATCTGTTGATCTTCACGATGCCGTTTGTCCACTAATGTCTTCTGGTTAAACAACACAGCTGGACTTACACCAGGATATAATGACACACAAGTTGACAGATTTTTACTTTAATGATTCCTGCTAACGTTTGGTTGCTCTGGAAGTGAATACAAATGTACGGCAAACTTTTCAGATCCTTTCTGTGCAGAAAATCGAAAATGATGTTCACATATCTTTCTGCTTCGCAATTCTGAATTAATTTGTTTCGCTCTAAATCCAAAGTATATCGCTTTTTTTTTACCCTTTTTTGTTGTAAAATGAGAAAATGTGAAATACCTAGAGGGCTTGGGAACACTTAGCAACCTTTACACTGAATGTTAGCATTTCCTAAACCACCGGTGAACCTTTTCACTGACGTAATGAAGGACATCAGCAGCAACAGCGGCAGTGACCGTGTGCTAATCATGGAGTCTACTGGAAGTTGTGGTCTTGTGAGTGCGTGCACACAGAGAATGACCTTGGCTTAGCTGCATAGATAGCAGCAGTGGACAGGTCAGTCAGTGTGTGTCTGTATGCGTGCGCGTGTGTGTGTGTTTGCTTTGTCCTACTCGGTCTGAGTCAAAGAGCAACACAGCCGTGGCTGCAGCTGTAACTCTCTTTCTTAAATCATCATGAGAGTAAATGCATCATGAGAGTATACTGCAGGGTGCATGAAGCTGTGTTTCCATCACCCATAAAATTGCATAATTTGAAATTATGGAAATTAATTTGCTTCATGGAAACACACCAATTAAACAACAAACTTGGTAAATTTTTTGCACTAGGATGACGTGGTTTTTCAGTCATATGGAAACACTTTTTTTTTTACATCACACAAGTCAAATACTGCTGGCAAAAATGACAAAGAGGACGACAGGAAGTAGGAGGATGATGGTTTATTTTTGTTGAGGATTTTTTTCCGGACAATATGCCGCTTGCTCCACCATAAAAAGTTGTGTGTCATTCAAATGTGTTGGATCTGTAGCTCTTCTGTGAAAATGCAGCGTTCAGTAGCTGCTCTCAGTGCTGCTGTCACTCCAACACCTGAATAAGATGCCGATGTCTCCTCTGAAAGATGATGAGCTCCAACGCCAAGGCCGAGTTATGAACATATCTGATCTAACTGTTTACATCCATTGCTGGCACAATTTTTATTGACTCAATCCATGAACAAGCTTATTCACATGTGATTTCAATTTCATTTCTTACTGAATGGAAATGTGACTTTGTGGAGGTTTTTGACACTAGGAGAATATTGACAAATATTTCCACACATGTTTAATGGATTTTGTGTGTGTCTGTGTTTTTCTCTCTCCCGCCAGTGCGTTACAGCCAAGGCCCTGGCGAAGTCTCCTCCTCCACCGCCATCAGTCACCACAGCAGCAGCAGCCAGTCGGTGCTGCAGCAGGTGTCCCCGGGAGGACTGGACCACAGCCACAGCCTGCTGTCGCCTGACGCCAAGATGGTGAGTGAGCACACCTGGACCCTCCCTCCGTGGCCGCAGATTAGATAAGGCATGGCGTGCGTTCAGCGGAAACCCTGAGCCCTGCTCTCCCACGGACCCTACGCCAACAATTCTCACATTGTGCAGCTCTGTGTGAGCGGCAGCGTCCGAGCAGGCAGCCTTCACCCGAGCAGACAGGCAGGCACGCCGGTCGCTCTGCCAACAAACAGCACAATGAAACGTTCTGTTCTTATTGATTAAATGCCGAGCAAAGAGAAGCCAAAGGTGGAGGAATGACAGCACCATTTGATCGTGCTCGATAATCTGCCATCATATGTAATAACATGCTTTCAAAACATCCCTAATTTTATTATATCTTGCTCATGAGAAGGTAAACTTCTTAATCACCTTTCAAAGTGGTCTTGACCAACCAGTCCAGGATTCCTGAAGAGCTTCCAGACTTTTCCTTCGGACTACTTTAGTAGCTTTTTTACACATCTAGATGCAACCTTTCATCTGACCGTGACAGCATGCTTTCAAAAAAAAAAAGAAAGAAAAAGAAGTGACCCAGAAAAGGAGATGGAGTTTCAAGTGAAGAAATTGATTTACAGCACTAAGCTCCTCCTCCTGGCTCTGATTGGATGTTTTTGACCAGGAGCGGTGTATTTCTGCAAATGGCAGTGGCACCACATTGAGCTAATGTTTTTTATCTGTATCGTGTTATACCGTCAGAACAGCGACAGTTTTAGCAAATATGTGGAAAACTTATTGACTTTAAAAGTCCCTGTAACTTTAAGAAAGATTGAAGATCTGAGGTCAAATCTGAGAAACCCAGCATCCTACTTTTTATTGTTTTCTAAAACTTCAGTTTTTGGGAATAACTTTGTTCCTAGAATACGATGGCCTAAAGTCTGAAACAGTTTTTGAGCTCTTCAGAAATCAGTCTAGAAGAGAGCAAATTGTTTTTTAGTGACACACCTACAGTTTAACTTAAAACAGCTCAACTGTGTAAGTGTAGACATTTCTTCATTTCTTGAGATTAGGAGCAACTTCTTGCCGGAATAATTCATGGATCGACGTCAGGCAGCAAACAAATAACCGGATCCAGAAAATCAAAGCAAAAAAAAAAACCCTAAACATTCCTCTGTCACTTTCAGATACCGCGTGGAAAAGCTGAAAAAATCCAATCCATCAGACCCAAACAAGTCTATCTCAGACTTTAAATTGTTGGCCTGTGTTTGAGCTGACCAAACTTCCCTGTTAGGACACTTCCGCCTTTCTGACTTGGTTTGTGTGAAATGAGTGCCAACATTGTGCCGTGATGGTCTGTCGGTTTGGTTTTTCTTTTTTTGTCCCTTTGTGGTTGTGAAATGAGTCATATTCAAATGAATAAAACCCCAGTCTAGAGGAGGATCCAGTAAACCCACTGAACCGTTTGCTCTCATATCTGTTTCTTCAAATCTTTTACTGTTTTGTTTAGGACGTCCTCTCGTGCGTCGCGTTTGAGCGGTTTACACGAAAAAAATGCCGGACCAAAGAATCCAAACTGAGTCAACATTTTGAACCCGCTGTTTGCTCAGCAGGCAACATCTGGCTCGCTTTGGACATGGATTTACACAGGAAGGCGCTCGACCTCTCTTCGCTGAGTGCCGCGTTCAGCTGAAAGCAAATAACGCAGCAGTAAAAGCTTGATTTCATTTCCCTCGTCTCCCGTCCGCAGATTTCAGGGTCGGGCGGAGGACTTCCTCCGGTCAGCACGCTGACCAACATCCACAGTTCCCACCACGGCCACCAGCAGCCGCAGAACCTACTAATGCCTCTGACAGGAGTCATGGCAATAGCGCAGAGTAAGTCTCGCAGGAAAAACAGCTGTTCGTCCGAAAACGGTCTCCAGGATCTAACGCGAGGTGTTTGTGGTCAGGTTTGAGCACGTCGCAGGCCCAGACGGTGCCGGTGATCAACAGCGTGGCGGGGAGCCTCGCCGCTCTCCAGCCGGTACAGTTCTCCCAGCAGCTCCACAGCCCCCACCAGGCGAGCGTGATGCAGCAGTCGCCCAGCCACATGAGCCAGCAGCCCTTCATGGCCACCGTCACACACTCTCACAGTCAGTAACTCTGCTCTCCTCGTGCCTACCTGTTAAATCATCATTCATTGTTGTTTTGTTTGTTTTTTCGTGACTACTAGCACTATTAGCTTGTGTTGAGTTGGTTGAAATTCAAAGCAGAACCCATGAAGGCAAAGCTGTATCAATGGTAACTTCTGCTCCGGGTTTTATAGTTCATAATGTTGTAGCTTCTCCTTTTCCCTCCTCGTAGCTGCGGTGGTGTGTAGATGGTAGATAGAAAAAAGAAATTAAAGTGGAGGAGTAAATTTCCACCAAAAAACACTATGACTTAAAAATGTTCTTGAACAAACAAGAAAAATTTTTCAACTTTACAAACAAGGAGTTTGAAAAGTTTAAAATTTGTCACAATTCAGATAATTGACTTTCTGAGATTTACTTAATCTGAAAGTCGAAAGTATTTCAAGTGCTGACAATCATGAAGATGATTGACAACGATAAGCTCCTCCCCCTGCCTCTGATTGGGTGTTTCTGACTGAGCGTTGTATTTGTTCAGATGACGTCAGGAGGAAGGCAGAAACACTCCAGTTTTTCCACAGATGATCAATATATTGACATTAGCGCTGTCACAACACAATGGCAATTTGAACCAATTTGTAAAAACCATGGAAAAGTTGCATACTGCTGCTTTATCAATAACAATTGAAACAAACAAACTGTAAAGGGGAAAAAAATAATAATATCACGAGACCATATATTTAAAAACAAATCCTACAAATTACATAGTTCTGGTACATCTCTGTCAGAGAAAATGTAAATATTTCTGCAAATAGAAGCTGGATTTCACACAACAGATTTTTCCTTCTTTCTTTTTTCTCTCTCATGCAGTGTATTCGCACAAACAAGAGCCCCCGCAGTACTCTCACCCGTCCCGTTTCCCCCCATCCATGGTCACAGATGCCAACAGCATCAGCACCCTCAGCTCCATGTCCTCCAGCAAGACGGTGAGTCCCCTCGTTTGCCTCTCAGACCGCAGTTAGATCCCCCTCTGCCCTCTCTCTGATTCTCATTCTGATTGTATTAGAATCACAGCGAAATTTGCTGTATATTCCTTTAAAAAAACCATCCCTAAATACAGCCAGGTAGAAAGAGAGAGACTGTGTGTGTGTGCCATAATTTTCTGTTGACCTGTTTAATTCCTTGTCGTGTTAGGACGCTCCTGTAAACAAGATGGTGCAACTCGGGGGTATCTCCTGGGTAAATACTTTATTTTATCAGTTCAGCTTCAATGAGTGAAATCCAACTCAAAGCCAATCACTTTTTAGCCCAGGGTGTGTAGCCGTGCACACTAACCCTTTCCGCTTCCTGTTTGGAGCTGATGCTCAGACAGTCCCAGACCAAACAGACTAGATGGATGCATGGGTAGGACACTTTCATCACCTTTCCTGTGACTGTCCAATCAGTCTCTGCCTCTCCTCCACTTTCATCTTCACCGCTGCTGCCATCAGGAAATGAAGAGCTGTTAATCACGGCTCTGCTTTCCTGCGTGCTTACAGTGTGGCTGCAGGTGAAATGAAGTGAGTGGAGGAGGGCGGCGGTGAAGTTTTTCTTCTTCTTCTTCTTGATCCTTTTGGTAATTACGCCGCTTCCTCTTTCCTACTTCTCCCTGCTCTCTTGTGATCGCTCTAGCCTGAAATGTTGTCCACGGTGTGTTAACATGCTCAATTTCCCACGCTGAGGCAGAGCGCTCGCTCTCCACTGACTGATGATGATGAGGATGATGATGGAGGCACAGAGAGTCGGTGCCGTTCTCTTTTGTGAAAGATACATAAAACGTGATGTGTCGTGTAGAGCATTTTTGGAAGTACAGTAAACAGAGACGAGAACGTCTAGTTAAAATAAAATGCAATTTAACTTATTTTTTAAAGTTGTGAATAAAAACCTCACATTCACACACAAAAAAAAAGAAATGGAGCTCCAAATTAAAAAATTGTGCTGATTTGTGACAATTGATTGTCACAAAAAAATTAGCCTGTGAGTTTTAGATTAGATGTTTTATTCAGTAATTTAAAAAAAATAATTATTGTTGCATGTGAAACATTTTCAAAAAAAGAAAAAAGACACAAACACAAAAATATTTACAATTAGCTTACTTCTACGTAAGTAGATTATTTTTACTCTTTTTTTTTTTTTTTAAACAACTAGAACCAAAAAAAAAAGAGCCTCAGAAATCTTTGCTTCCTGCTTATTCAGCATTACGGCATGTTATTTATTGAACAATCACCAGAAAAGTCAGGGATTTTCTTATCAGGAAGTGATTTGGACCAAACCTCCGTTTTATTAAACGAGCCGGGCTTTATAGCACCCAGTATTTACCCGCAGCCCTCCGCTCGGAGCGCGCGCCGCTTCTAATGACTCAGGTGTTGGCTGCAGGTCAGCTTTTATCAGGTGAGGCTGTTTGCCGGCCGCGGGGTCACGCCGGGGTCAGCCGTCTCCATGGAGAGGCAGGTGAAAAATAAATCCCTCAAACAGTCCTGAAGGGGCAGAGAGAGTGGAAACAGGCTTTTCAGAGCCAAGGGGAAGAGGAATGGGGAATGTATTTGGTCAGGTGTGGCAGGCTGAGGTGGGAGGGCTGTTTAAGGCAAAAGCAGGAAAACTCAGTGACTTTAACCAATAATGGAAAAACATGACGAAAATGAAAACAAAAAAACAGATTTTTGGTGAGTAAAGATAACTTTTTTGGTTGATGTTTCTTAAACGTCGCCTTGAGGGCCGACCGTCTCTTTCACTTCTTCGTCCTCTGCAGGTTTAACATTATAAAAATATTACTTTTCTAGCAATGTAATATTACCCGCAGCCAGGTAATGTCAGTAACAGAATAATACTATATCCTGTAAATAAATGTTTCAGTTTATTTAGTTTTTAGCTAAATAAGCTGAAATATGAATCCTCTTGGAATCCATTTTAAAAAGCTTTGTGTGGCTAAAATAGACAGCATGATGCCATGAAACGATGAGCAACAGATTCTCTCTGCTTACGCTTAAGATTCAACAACAAAACTGATGCTAACTATTGATGAGAAAAAAGTGCATAAATAATCGAATAAATTATGATTTTCCCTTTTCTTCCATTTTTCTCCCTTTTCATAGTGGCAGGATCAACTTTGGTCCTCATTTAGTCCTAATTCTCACACTTATGATTGTTCTTAACAAATTGACTTTGTACATTGTCAAGTTTAACTGAGCAGCACTTTTGCTGATCCACAACTTAAACGACATGATCTCTTGTCTTTCCTGTTTTGAAGAGTTCGACCAAGAATAATGGGCCATATTTACAGCCGCAGCATAAATAGGAGAGTGTCACGTCATATTTACACTCCAGCTAAACAGGAAGCATGGAGCACTAATTAACCTTCAATCTCTGGTTAACTCAAAAAAAACATTACAGATGCTTTTATCATGCTTACGTTGACCTTTAACCGTACGACTGTGGCTGTGAATTAGGTGAATTACAGGGGATTTCATGAAAACATTTGCTCTGAGTGCATTTTTTTTTGTGCAAAATAAACATGTTGTGTGTTTGAGTTTATGCTGCTTAAATGAAAGTTGGCTTTATCTTTAAAGGGCTTTTCATGCACTTTCATCAGATGTGCTGCTACATGTAGAGGATGCTGTTTGTTCCAGCTTTTAACGCCTAATGCCAAATATATTTGAAACATGGTATAAATTCAGTCAGTTTTTACAGAAACTAAAAAAGTTACGGAGTTAACTGCATTATTGTTATTATCATTATTACTGAGAATAAGAACTTCAAGGAATCAAATAACTTTATTGTTATACCAGCTCCCCATCTATGTTTAGGGGATGGATTTCAGACTCAGGTCGCAGTTTAAGAAGCCTAATAAATAACTGAATTAATCATCATCATCATCACCATCATCATTGTTATCGTCGACTTTATTTATAAAATGCTTTTGAAACAGCAGCCACAGCTGAAACAAGTGTTGGACATTAAAGATAAATAAAATAAAGCAGAAAAATAAAGGAACAAAGGTATAATAAAGTAAAAACTACATTCAAAACACAATATGACAAATAAATAAGATCAATACCAATAAAAGTTAAGTAAAGGCAAGTCTCATTTGGGTTGAAGGCCAATGAGGAAATTTAAGTTTTCAGACAAATTTTAAAATTGGACAGTGAAGAAATAAATAGAGAAAGAAAGAAAGAAATATGAAGTGAAATGAGGCTCAAGTTGGCATTGCTGAATGCTACAAACGCAAGACGTAGTCCATAATATTGCACAAATAAATAAATAAAATATTATATTTCAAATAAACCTAGTCACAAAAAATAACTAAATAATAATGATAACCATCCTCATGTTTCTCACTATGTTTGCTGCCATCTTGTGGGCGTGTGTGGATGCGGCAGAATGACAAGTGCAGCTGAAACTCGTTATTTCTGCCTTGTTTAGTTATTATTTTTCCTCTCTGTGTTTAAGTTGTAGGTTATCATTGAGCTGACTTTATTTGACTGTTTGTTTGTGAAGCTGGAAATAAAGGAGTGCAGTGACCTCGTGAACCGTTGACAAGCCCGTAGTAATCTGACAACAAAACTGATCGCGTCCTCCGGAATATACCCAGAATGCATCTGTGCTTTATGCAACGCAGGTTTTTACTTTGCCTGACTTCTCTCTGCTTTTCTTTCCCAGTGTCCTCTTCCAGCTTGGTGAGAGCGTCCAACCGTCTTCCCCACTGCCCGGCAACCGGAGCGCATTTTTCCACCCTCTCTCCCGGGTTAGCATGACAACTGCTAATGGACTCGCAGGCGCGCGCACGCTGGACAACAAGCTGGTCAACAAACACGGAGGGGAGGGGGGCAGGGGGGAGTACCGAGTCTGCTGCGCGTGAATGATCAAGGATGTTTATGATTCAAACTCAAATCTTAGAAAACAGTATTCGGTTAAAAAAAAAAAGTCATCCCAAGTTGTCACTTAAAGGAACAAAAGCACCAGAATGAACTATTTTGAGGACCCTGTTGGAGGGATTTGGGGCGACGACATTAAAGTCAAGACATTAAAGACAGAGAGGACGAGGGGGACGCCTTGTCTGCACGCGTGACAATCACAACGACCACTATTGATCTCGTGCATACATTTCTTACTGTTTTTTTTTTAAGGAGTCTTCCATGTTTGTATCTGTTCACCTTCAGTTTACTGTACCGCAAATGATCGCATGAAGTCGTTCCTTGTGTATACTGTGATTTGAAAAGACTTTGACAATCTCAAAAGGACTATGCAATGCTTTGTATAACTGGATTCTGCACAAAACTCCACACACTTGGAGGCTGGAAAAGGAATATGCACTAAACAGCTGTTGTAAACTGTTGATAAAATAACAAAACCAAAAAAAAAGTAGATTTGTAACGATACGCCAAACTGATTTAGGTTTTTTTTTGTTGTTTTTTTTTACACTTTGAACGCAGCCCATTGTTGAAACCTCCGGCTCTTGTTTGCTCCCAGGCTCAGGTGAATTTAAGGAATGGGACTCACCCCTCCTCTCGGACTTTATTTCCTCTCCCACTTCCTGCCGGCGATGTAAAACAGGACAAATATTGTTAATAACTCCTCGTCATGAACCGCGGCTCACCGTTAGGTGGCCCTCCCCCTCCCGCCGGGGAAGAATGAAAAACATCGGCAGGTCTTCATAAACATGAGAGAGCGGCGGTGTTGTGACAGCCGTGGCGTGAAGGTCACGCGGGAATGCGGGGAATCTGCGAGGCGCGCGCCAACGACCGCCTACGGTGACAGTATTAAGGCGTGTTGAGCGTTCATATCCAGACCAAAATTGATCAAGCTTCCCTTTCGGGGCGACTCGACTCGACCCATGTGGGCCCTCCCAGTCTCCAGCTCATATTATTAGGTCATCATGTAGTCGTTTGATGTGACTGTTATCGGCATTCAAGACATGATTCCTCTTTCTCTCTCTCCTCTTATTGTATTATTTTTGTACAAAATTGAAATCAATCGTAAATCATTATTTATACTTACTGAAAAAATATTGGTATTTGAAGTAAAAAGCTTTTTTTTCTAAGAATAATACGTGTGGTTATTGTTTTGCAAGTTTTAAGTGAGCATATTTTATGTTTATTGGTGTGTGATTAAATGTCTTTGATCATAATCATTTTCTATTATATTTGTCAAAAAAAAAAAAAAAAAACACCAGTAGAAGATCAATATTCCCCACCTAAGCCCAAAACGGGCAAATCTAAACTAGTGGTGGGCCACAAAATTTATTTATTCAAAAAGTCAGATGAAATTTTTTCGTGTCTTTTTTTGTTTTATATTTACTTGAACCATAATAAAATTTTTAGAATCCTTAAAGAGTCTCTTAATGAGACTGCTGCCTCATTAAAAGAAAAGCAGACAATTGTCAGATATTGGAGTTTATTACTTTTCTAGTTCGTTAGCCAAATTTTTACCGTTCAAAATGAACACCCAGGTTCCTCAAACATGCATGAAAGAATGAAGTCAACACTCCAACTATGTCTATAATCAGGGAGTAACTTTTGACATAATTATAAATCTCAAAAAGTTGATTTTAGATTATTCAGCTCCTTTAACAAATATGTAAAAGAAAACTATTTTTATTTAAAAAAATACCTATTGCGGCTTTAAGCTGCATTTGTCTTATTGTTGATTTCTTGCTCTAATTCAGACATTTTTTGTTGTCAGTTCCTTATGTGTGATTATTGTTTTTGCAGTACGGTAACCTACAGAATCAGTTCTCACGTGTACAAACTACAGAAGCGAGGAAGTGCCAATATTGTCCTCCTGGGTCGTTTTAACACTCATTTCTGCGTCACTTGAAGTGAAATATTTTCTGCACATGGCGATCTTGCTTTCAGGTCCTGCAGCGTTGTGATTTAATTGGCGGAGCTGCACTCTGCAGCGTGGCTCCCCGCTGACCAAAGCCTTGTAATCCTTTGACGTTGCTCCATTTGCTTTTCAATGAGGCCTTTGATTTCGAGTCCCGGGAAGCCAGTGAAGTTCTGACTTAGACTCTTTCATTTCGAGAGACACTAAAATACAAGAGGGTTTGTTTGCATCTGTTACATTTCTTTACACTCCATCTGATCCATCATTAAGGCCTGAATACGAACTTATTTCATTAGCAGACTGGATGTTATCGAGATGCATACAAGACTATTTTGGCTGCTGTTTTTATGTGTTTAAAAATTAGCAATAATAATAGCAATAATAATATGTTTTTTGCACTTATTTTGGTTTGCTCTCTGGAGACATTGCTTCTTTTACTGAGTCATGTGTTATGAGGCTTTCATTTCCCCATCAAACCATAAATCTATAATAATCACAACAAAGAGAATGATACATTTTTAACAGCAAGAACAAATGTTTACATTTAGATAAACCCAAAAATTGCTCATGGATGTGACATTGGTCAGTTGTGTTGTTTTAAATGGAACGGTGACGGAGCATAGTAACTAACTTCAGATGAATTTAAATCCTGTCAAAGTTTCAATAGAAATAAATTCATCAAGAGTGTATGCGTCACACGCACCATGAAAGCTGGTAAATCATCATTTTGAAAGAGATTATTCATTTATTAAAGCATCTTAATGAGTGAAAATTAACTTGCTGCGTTTCCATCATAAATGTGTGTAAAACTTTGTCAATATTCTGCTAATAATGAAAAAAACATTTTCAAAATTGCGGCGTTTCCATTAAATAAAAGACACATGAATACATTTGTTCACACGAGAAATCATTGGAAAAATAGGCTGTGATCCTCCCACTACTTCCTGTCATCTTCCTGGTCTGTGCCAGGGTTAGGGTGTCTCTCTCCGATAATTTCATCTTCCGGAGCGGCTAGATGACCTTTGCCTCTTTGCCTCGGCCGTTCAGGGTGGAGTCAAATCACAGCGATACCACTTTCGGTCGTTTTCCTTGTCATTGTTGAACGCTGCTTTATGCTTCCTGTTGTCCCGTCCCATTTTACTCCTTGCAGTTTTCTTAGCATTGAACACGCATCGTTGGTTCCCACAATCAACCCTTCCAACATTTAAAATCCAGCTATTTTCGCAAAACCTACACAACCCTCAAATTAAAGACAGTTTTTCTAGGTTAGTGAAAATTTCTATATTTCTTAGTATTTCATAAGGGACAAAGTTTTACCAAAGGGAACTGAAAATGCTGCAGCTTACTGTAATTCATAAGTCAAACAAACTCAATTCAGATACTAATTGTTGCAGACTCCTCTATGAGAGCATCAAGCATTGGACTGCCAGCCAGCTGATTCGGTTCGTCCCAGACTCCGGAGGTCAACGCGAGAACCAAGGAGTCACCGGGGAAACAGAGGGACAAGGACAAAGGGACAGAGGGTGGAATCGGCAGGCTGAATGTAGCCGTGTGTTTAGCAGCGCCAGAAGAAAGGATGCTACATCAACTCCAGCTGAGCCCCAAAGGGTCAATGGATAGGGCTGCCCAGCGGGGGTCAGGGGTCGAGAGGCCGCTCTAATTGGTCACTGTGACCGGGGTTTACGCCAGCCTCTCTCTGCGGAGAAACGCATACACATGTATGGAGCCGCAGTCCTCCATCAAGAAGGACTCTGTTGTGTTCCTGCAGCAGTCGGGGAATCAGTCCGCCGTACATCCACCGCAGAACCACCTACAGAGACAGCTGGGTGGCTTCTTAGCTCTACTATTCATCAGCTTGAAAAGATGAATGGTAGTGAGGATGATACTCATGGGGTTGTGTAAAAGTATTTGCCTCCTTACAGATTTCCTTGATTTTGCCCTTTTTTTTTTTCCTCGACGTTTCTTATTAACTATCTAGCTAATTTTTAACCAGGACAAAGATTCCCTGAATAAACGGAAAAATCGATTTTCAGAAACGTGCAACTGGAATTAGCCTACGACTCTAATCACTGTCATCAAGTATTTATGATAACAGGTAATTTTCTAAAGAAAATGTTTTTTGTTTTTTTTACATATTTGTTAAAACTATTACTATGTCTTGACAGTGTAATACGAAACATAATCTGTGAAAAGATCACTTTCCTCCACCTCCTCCTGGAGCAACATTGCCAATCAGAGCAAGGGGGAGGGTCTTAACGCCTTCAATCATTCTTGTGAACACGCTGCTAGCTGTTCAACTCACTGTGACAAGAAGACTGTTTTTTTTTTTTAACTTAGTGCATTTTTAATGACTTTACTGTAATTCATTAACAATAAATGAAAATTTTAAATACATGGACTATGAGTCTCAGCTGATCAGCTGCATTTATGACAATAAATAATTCCAAATCCCCCAAACCTTCTGTTTCTTCTTTGAGTTTTTGTCGAGCGTCACTCTTTTGGGAAGGAAAATGAAAAATCGTTAAAGTTGATTTTTGACCGATATGACTTCAATTTTGCCACGGCGACGACATTTTACTGACTTTGAAAGAAATGCAGACGTCAAAGCAGGATTGAAAATGTTTCATTTTTGTCTCAGCTCCCGTTCATCACCTTGCAGAACCGAGTCTGTTGTCGCCCTCGCCTCAGATGAGCCTCAGATGAGCCTCAGATGAGCCCATTTGCATCTGAGGTAAAAGTCGCGGGTTCGCAGGAGTTCTGATGGATGGATGACATCATGCTGGCCCCTCTGCAGGCCTGATACTGGACAGGTTAATGATTTATGGGGAATCGTGGGATACCCGGGGAAAAAAAAAGCAGAAAGAAAGAAAAAAGACGGGTTAATGTTCACCTTCTGGACGAACCCCCTCTTGTGGGTGGTGGTGGTGGGGCGGCGGCTGCCCACATTCGGTCCAGGCTAATGGTCGAGCCGGTGCTGATGGACTGAACTGACCGGCCTCTGGCTAAACACAGAACTCACAGCGGGGAGGGAAGGAAACCTCAGAGAAGCAAATAGATATATAAATAAGTAAATAAATAAATGACTCCATGCAGCTGGAGTCAGCTCCCCGTCCTGAGTGATGCCTCCTGA